TTTGCTATGAAAATTTCCTGTTAGAGTTCTATATTATTAATAATTTACGCTAAATCTAGGATATTTTGTCGCTTTCAGCGAGATTTTAGCAAAGTAATTTTATAAATGTAGTTGCAAATTATTATGCTAATAAAACGCTAACATTGTCAATATATTAGCAATACTTTAGTAATAATAAAGGCCTAAAAATTGCCATTATTTTATTGGGTACTTTAAAGGTACCAATAATGAAATAATTTTGTAATAAACTATTAAAATTGGTAGCTTAGTATTAATAATGCACTCTGTTTTGCTTACTATTGGCAAATAATTCATATCTCGAAATTGCTAGACCTTTGCAAAGTTTACTTAATAAAAAATCAAATATTCAAAGTACCTTCATATCCGATTGTACTTCATGATCAGTAAATCTACGACCAATAAGACGTTTGGCGTCAAAAACAGTATTATAAGGATTCATGGCGACTTGGTTTTTTGCGGCGTCCCCAATCAGATGCCCTGTATCGGTGAAAGCAACATATGAAGGTGTAGTTAGACTACAGTGGTCGTTTGCAATAATTTCAACCCGGTCTTTTGACCATACACCGACACAAGAGCATGTCGTTCCTAAATCGATACCAACTAAAGTGTATAAGGGAAAAAAACACATTAAAATGATAAAATATTAATCAAAATTTCATTTTATAAAATATATTTACGTACCAGCATTTTCTTTTGACATTTGTAAACTTTATTTGTAAATTTGGTTTGCTTTTTTTTTTTTTTTTTTTTATGAAAAACCTAATAACGCTTGGAAAAAAGAAAAAAATTTTTTAAAGTTTAAAAACGCCTATAATATAATGCTTTGGAAAAATTCTTTTTAGAAGGAAAAATAAATTCCTTTCATCGTAAGAATGAGATCCATTATCCGTTAACGACAGTAGCATTTTATTTGATTTTATTTTCGGGTAGTACCAGAAACGGAGCAATTTAATGTCGTTACTCCGCAAAATCTTGCAATTAAATTTATTTTTCACATGCAACTTCGTCACCGGATTTGTGTACAGTATTCAAAATTAGGGATAATCCTTATAAATAAATAAATCAGGCAACGTAATCTAAATTACAAATTTATAGTTCTTTACATGTTTAATAATGAAATGTGAAAATTGTCAAATTGATAAACTTTCAGAAGAATTTCCATCTGGTACAATTAGTTCCGCCTGTGAACATGTCACATCTTGGTGTTTAAAGGTATAATATCTTTACTAATATATAAATATGTTATTTATATTATGTATTTAAATTGTCTTTTTTATTAGTGTCTTGTAAATTACCTAAGAGAAACACAGTACTATCACCAGTGTCCCATTTGCGAGGCTAAATTAACAGAGCAAGAATTTAATGAATATTGCCTGCTTTGGGACAATGCAAACTTTAAAATTGATTTCGAAAATCCCTCACAAGCACATACTGAATTTTCTGAGCAAAATAATTCAAATTCCGAAATATTTTATGTTGTCCGATTAAATGGTGAAAAGTTTGAATTAAGTCTTTCTGAAATTAATACAGTTAAAAAGCTAAAATATAGATTAATGGATTATACTAAGATAGACATTGATAGACAAATGTTAATATATAAAAACATTAAACTCAATGTGCGCATCTTATTTATTCTTGATTAAAGTCTTTATAATTTTTATATTGATTATTTTATTTATTATTATTCTATACAGGGTAAATCTGATAATACACTCACAAGTTATGGAATCTGCGCAAATAGCCATATTCAACTTATAATCGTACTTTATTCTATCTCGAAGAAGGTTGCTTTAAAAAATTTAGTATTCGATTTATATTGGGGTTTCCCTTCCACAGGAATAGACTATCTCGACGGCTCTTGTTTGATATATGAAGGTGATAAATTATGGAAAACATACGACTGGAAAAGTAAATATTATAATAATGATACGCCATATATAAAGCATTCTGGAGATATCTTAGACAAGGAAAATGGTTTGTTCTAATATTACTGTATACTTCATTATAATTTACATTTTTACGTATATTTGATAATTTTAAATCATAATCACAGCTACAGGACATCAGAAAATTCAAGTGAAACTCAGTAAACTTCCTACTAGTGTTACGCAACTATATCTAATATTAAGTTCATGTCGTGCTTCGACAATTAAACATTTCCGGAATCCAAGTTTTAAATTGTATGATGAAGCGAAACCGAATAAGCAGCTATGTGAATACAATATACATAATGCCGCTAACTCACAAGCTGTTATAATTTGTCTTATTTATCGAACGTGTTACGGTGAGTTTTAATGTTAGAATTTTTGTTTTTATTTTAAGGTTTTATTTTTTTTTAGAATTTTTTCTTTTTTTGATTATAGACAATTGGAAGGTAATTGAAGTAGGTAGATTATCACAAGGAAACACCAAGGACTACCACCCAATAATGGAAAATATCCAAGATCTTATTAGCAGTGAAATTGAAAATGGATTTGACTAGAAAGGGACGAATTCACTTTGGTCATTAAAATAATGCGCTCTAAAGTTCCTTTTTTTTTTTTTTTTACTTACACCCTGATCTTCTGATAGTGATAAGTAGCAGATAAACTTTTTTATTACTTACATTACTGATCGCAGATTATCAAATAAAACGTCTTGCAGTCCGCTTCACAGATAATTTACATCTAGTGAGCACTATCATAAATTTGCCAACCCTAACCTAAATCAGGACAGCTTTGTCGATGAAATGTCTGTCAATGAATGATTGTTTATTGTAATTAGAGATATTTGAATGTATATATGTCCATCTGAAGTTACCACCTGCAACTTTAGATATCTGAAGTTGCACTATCTGAAGTTACAATTTTAGATATCTGAAATTGTAAAAAATCCTAAAGTTGTTCTTTTACATATTTGAAGTTGCTACTTAAAATGTCTAAAATTGTTATTTTAAATATTTAAAATAGCAACTTTAAATATCTAAAGCTGTTACTTTAGATATCTGAAGTCGTAATTTTAAATTTCTGAAGTAGCTTTCTATCTGAAGCAGCAACTTTAGATATCTGAGATGCTAATTTAAATATCTGAAATAACAATTTTAAAGTATTGAATATTTAAAATAACAACTTTAAGAACATTTCTATTTGTACACGGGAGCAATATAAAAACCCAATCAGATTACAGTACACGATCAGGTGTGACTTTTTTTAAAAAAATATTGTCAATATTTCAAAATTTCGATTATGAACCACCTTTAGCTTTCTAACAAAAAAGGTTCCTTGCGAATTTTGGTATAAACTGACCTTAACCCTAATCCCAAGGAAACTCTTACCTTAACCATATGTAGGAGGTTTAATTTTTCGTTTTATGAAATTGCTTTGATTTGCATGTTACACGGATTTGCAAACTTTAAATATCTAAAGTAGCAATTTAAGATATTTAAAGTAGCAATTTTATTAAATATATAAAGTTGCATTTTATATATTTAAAATAGCAACTTCAGATAGTTTATGCAGTATCTTCAAATATCTAAAATAGCAATTTTAGATATCTAAAGTAGAAACTTTAGATAAAAAGCTTCTTAAATACAAGGGTTGTCTATTTTGAAGCTGTAACTTTAGATATTTAAAGTTGCAAGTTTAGATAGTAGCAACTTCAAATATCTGAAGTTGCAACTTCAAATAGGTGACAACTTTAGATGCAACGTATATATTTGGTTAATTTATTTAATTAAAATTTGTTGTTAATACGATATTAATATCAAAATATTTTAAATGCAGTCTAATCTATAGCGATAGAGACATTAAAATTAAAATTTACAGGATTAATGTGGCTGCTTTTTTTGCCGCGAAAGCCGCATTGTTAAAAGTACTGTACATGCACTGCATGCATACGTATGTTCAGTACGTACGTACTATACGTATAATGCGGCAATAGCCGGTTATAATTGGTCTGTGACCAACCGGTAACTGTTGACCAATTTTGAAAGTTTAAATTTCAGAGATGGTATTGTTTACAAGATAGTATGAACCAAATTAACTCTAAGCAACTTTAATTAATAGTTCAAAAGAAAAAAATTATTTCAAAATTTAGAAAATTGATTACAATTGGTCGTCCCTAAGTGAAGCTAGGTGAGTTAGAAAAACTAATATATATGTATACACAGTAACTCTCGATATAACGGAGACCACAGATATAGTCCTTCACTCCATTATATCAAAAGCTTCACAATATCAAAATCTCACGATATATCGGATATTATAATAAATCATAAAATCTCCACTACATCAAGAAAATAATTTTTTTTGTGAGGAACCAACGTGAAGCTTATCCAATTTGAGGCGATAAATACGATTGGCTGACATTTGATTACTAATCAAAACTTATTCAATCACCCCCAAGATGGACCGAACCTCACGTTGATCCTTCACAATTACTTTGTTCCATTATAATTCTCCGTATTAAGTAGTACCTGTTATATCGGTAGTCCGTGTATCAAATTTTCCTACACTATAACCTATCATTATAAGCAATATATTTCTATATTCAGTCTAAAATTGTATTACTCGATTTGATTTTGTTTTTTAATACCTGTCAATATTCTATCAATTTACTATAAATAGTAAATATTTTGACCTTTATAATGCGGCTTTATATTGAAAACTATAAAACTCCTGTCGGACATTTGCATTTTACTCCGAATTCATTCTTGGCATATAACAAATGAATACCTGTTTATGTATAATTCACAATTTTGTATTTAGTAAAGCAATAAAATTTACTTATAAATGAACCATGTACGCACGTACGTACGTAGCATTAATTTGTATATAAGATTAATAAATCTTATAATAATGAAATGTGAAAAGTGTCAATTTAATAAACTTTCCGAAGAATTTCCATTTGGTACAATTAGTCCCATGTGTGAACATATTACATCTTGGTGTTTAAGGGTATAATATTTTTAATGATATGTATAACATATTCCTAAATATGCTATTTAATTTATTTTAATTACCTTTTTATTAGTGTCTTGTAAAATACCTAAAAGAAATCAAGAATCATCATCAATGCCCTATATGTGAGACTGAACTGGCCGAACAAGAATTCAAAGAATATTGCTTACTTTGGGATAATGCAAAATTTAAAATTGATTTTAGAAGTCCCTCACAAATACATACTGAACTTTCTGAACAAAATAATACAAATTCTGGAAATAATTCCGGAATATTTTACGTTGTCCGATTAAATGGAGAAAAGTTTGAATTAAATCTCTCTGAAATTAATACAGTTAGAGGGCTAAAATATAGATTAATGGATTATACTAAGATAGATATTGATAAACAAATGTTAATTTATAAAAATTTTGAACTCGATGTGCGTAATTTATTCTTGATTAAGTCTTTATAATTTTTATCCTAAATATTTTATTCATCATTTTTCTGTACAGGATGAAACTAATAATACACTCACAAGTTATGGAATCTGCACAAATAGCCATGTCCAACTTATCGTCGTACTTTATTCTATTTCGAAAATGTATTCTTTAAAAAATTTAGTACTCGATTTGTGTTGGGGTCATCCCTCCACGGGCGCAGACTATCTCGATGGCTCCTGTCTAATATATGAAGGTAATAAATTATGGAAAAAATATGACTTCGCAAATAAGGTTTATTCTGATATATCATATATTTCGCATTCCGGAGATGTCATAGACAA